TTGGTGGTTCCAAACTTCTTCCATTTAAGAATGATGAGGCCACGGTGTTCTTGGGGACCTTCAATGTTGCAGACATTTTTTGGTACCCTTCCCCAAATCTGTGCCTCAACACAATCCTGTCTCTGAGCTCTACGGACAATTCCTTGGACCTCATGGCTTGGTTTTTGCTCTGACATGCACTGTCAACTGTGGGACCTTATATAGACAAGTGTGTGCCTTTCCAAATCATGTTCAATCAGGGGGCCTCCCGAGTGGCACAGCGGTCTAAGACACTGCATTGCAGTGCTTGAGGCGTCACTACAGACCCGGGTTCGATCCCAGGCTGTGTCACAGCCGGCTGTGACCGGGAGACCCATGAGGTGCACAATTGGCCCAGCGTCCGGGTTAGGGGATGGTTTGGCCGGCCGGGATTTCCTTGTCCCATCGCGCTCTAGCGACTCCTTGTGGCGGGCCGGGCGCCCGCAAGCTGACTTCGGTTGCCAGCTGGACAGTGTTTCCTTCGACACATTGGTGAGGCTGGCTTCCAGTTTAAGCAAGCAGTGTGGCTTGGCAGGGTTGTGTTTCGGAGGACGCATGGCTCACGACCTTCGCCTCTCCCGAGTCCGTAGGGGAGTTGCAGCGATGGGACAAGACTGTAACTACCAAATGGGGAGTCCAATCAATAGAATTTACCACAGGTAGACTCCAATCAAGTTGTAGAAACATCTCAAGGATGATCAATGAAAACAGGATGCATCTGAGCTCAATTTCGAGTCTCATAGCAAAGGGTCTGAATACTTATGTAAATAAGGTATTTCTGCTTTTTATTTTTAATAAATTAGCAAAAAAGTCCTAAAACCTATTTTCGCTTTGTCATTATGGGGTATTGTGTGTAAATTGCTGAGGAATTTGTTTGATTTAATCCATTTTAGAATAAGGCTGTAACAAAATGTGGAAAACTCAAGGGGTCTGAACTTTCTGAAGACACTGTATATGTCAGTAGCATTTTTATTGAATGAATGGATTCTGCTTCATGGATCGTCTTAGTTTGGAGACAAAACAAATATTAACATTTAGAGATCGTATTACACACAAACTAATGCAGGTGATAAGACTAGTGGTGCAGATTGGATAGTCATGTGATGCAACCTGGTGTCTAGACAGAGTGCAGACTTTACACCCTGTAAGTCAGAGAAGGTCTTGCCTAAGGGTAAGACTCATGGTACAGTGTATGTGAGAGATATGGGGGTGGCAGTGGAAATGCTAGCTGCTGCAGAGCCTTAGTGTACGCTCTCTGTCTGTCAATGTAGTCCGAGAGGACGGAAGAAGGGAGGGAGGGAGGGGGGAGGAGAGAGAGAGCGAGAGAGAAGGGTGAAAGAAGCAGGAAGAGACTGAAAGAGGGGGGGTGGCAGAATATAATACATTTGATCTAATGTAGGCGCCACACTGGTTGCCTAGCAACCGTGCCCGTACCCTGTCTGGCCTGTCTGCTCTGTAAGCAGCCTCCTTTAGGCCCATGTCAGGTTTATACATACTGCACTGTAGCTGCTCTACATACACTGCATTTATATACCCTTTACAGTAAATCAGGTTTATACATACTGCACTATAGCTATACTATGAATACCATACAGTGAGGGAAAAAAGTATTTGATCCCCTGCTGATTTTGTACGTTTGCCCACTGACAAAGACATGATCAGTCTATAATTTTAATGGTAGGTTTATTTGAACAGTGATAGGCAGAATAACAACAAAATAATCCAGAAAAACACATGTCAAAAATGTTATAAATTGATTTGCATTTTAATGAGGGAAATAAGTATTTGACCCCTCTGCAAAACATGACTTAGTACTTGGTGGCAAAACCCTTGTTGGCAATCACAGAGGTCAGACGTTTCTTGTAGTTGGCCACCAGGTTTGCACACATCTCAGGAGGGATTTTGTCCCACTCCTCTTTGCAGATCTTCTCCAAGTCATTAAGGTTTCGAGGCTGACGTTTGGCAACTCGAACCTTCAGCTACCTCCACAGATGTTCTATGGGATTAAGGTCTGGAGACTGGCTAGGCCACTCCAGGTCCTTAATGTGCTTCTTCTTGAGGTGTTTTGGGTCATTGTAATGCTGGAATACCCATCCACGACCCATTTTCAATGCCCTGGCTGAGGGAAGGAGGTTCTCACCCAAGATTTGACGGTACATGGCCCCGTCCATCGTCCCTTTGATGCGGTGAAGTTGTCCTGTCCCCTTAGCAGAAAAACACCCCCAAAGCATAATGTTTCCACCTCCATGTTTGACAGTGGGGATGGTGTTCTTGGAGTCATAGGCAGCATTCCTCCTCCTCCAAACACGGCGAGTTGAGTTGATGCCAAAGAGCTCGATTTTGGTCTCATCTGACCACAACACTTTCACCCAGTTCTCCTCTGAATCATTCAGATGTTCATTGGGAAACTTCAGACAGGCCTGTATATGTGCTTTCTTGAGCAGGGGGACCTTGCGGGCGCTGCAGGATTTCAGTCCTTCACGGCGTAGTGTGTTACCAATTGTTTTCTTGGTGACTATGGTCCCAGCTGCCTTGAGATCATTGAGAAGATCCTTCCGTGTAGTTCTGGGCTGATTCCTCACCGTTCTCATGATCATTGCAACTCCACGAGGTGAGATCTTGCATGGAGCCCCAGGCCGAGGGAGATTGACAGTTATTTTGTGTTTCTTCCATTTGCGAATAATCGCACCAACTGTTGTCACCTTCTCACCAAGCTGCTTGGCGATGGTCTTGTAGCCCATTCCAGCCTTATGTAGGTCTACAATCTTGTCCCTGACATCCTTGGAGAGCTCTTTGGTCTTGGCCATGGTGGAGAGTATGGAATCTGATTGATTGATTGCTTCTGTGGACAGGTGTCTTTTATACAGGTAACAAGCTGAGATTAGGAGCACTCCCTTTAAGAGTGTGCTCCTAATCTCAGCTCGTTACCTGTATAAAAGACACCTGGGAGCCAGAAATCTTTCTGATTGAGAGGGGGTCAAATACTTATTTCCCTCATTAAAATGCAAATCAATTTATAACATTTTTGACATGCGTTTTTCTGGATTTTGTTGTTGTTATTCTCTCTCTCACTGTTCAAATAAACCTACCATTAAAATTATAGACTGATTATTTCTTTGTCAGTGGGCAAACGTACAAAATCAGCAGGGGATCAAATACTTTTTCCCCTCACTGTACCTCCATTACATAGTCTTGTACTTACTGTACATTAACTGCACTATACTGAATACCATACCTCCATAGCCCTATGACTGGATTATACATATTACAGCCTACTGTACTGCATGCCACACCGCTCTAGTTGTCCACACTGTAAATGCACTACACTGTTAGAAAAAATAAAGTTGTATTGTCACATACAGGTGCAGTGAAATGTGCTGTTTTACAGGGTCAGCCATAGTAGTACAGTGCTCCTGGAGCAAATTAGGGTTAAGTGCCTTGCTCAAGGGCACATCGGCCGATGTTTGACCTTGTCAGCGCAGGCATTCGAACCAGCGACCTTTCGGTTACTGGCCCAACGCTCTAACCGCTAGGCTACGTGCCACACAAATATACACACTGTATACAGTATTGAAAGTGCACTCTGCATCTTAGCTTTCACCTAAGGAAGTACAGTATCCTATATCGATGGTTCTTTCCTTAGAAGTCTGGAATATTTCCATAGGAGTTTGCACATTTTCGTACAGCATTCATGGACAATTGATCCAGGGCTGAACCGATAAGAAGAATAAGATATGTCGTTGAGATAGATATCACTGTTAACATCGTAAAAGTCTTTGTCCGGAAACATGTTCAGCACCACAGCCTACCCTCCCTCAGTGCTTCTGCCTCTCCCTTGTCCTAATTCGCCCTCACTGCAAGCAGGTTAGCGTTTTTCTTCATTAATCTTTTTCTGGAGGCAGCTCTGAAGAGGGGTTACTATCTGGCACAGCCACTGTCATAAAATCTGATTTTAAACCTAACGTTAAGCATACTGCTAACCTTAAATGAAGACCAAATAGCTAATTTTTGTTTTCATACATTTTTACAATATAGACAATTTTGACTTTGCAGCTGGCCCATCTAGCAGAAATCGTTCAGTTCTGCCTCCAGGACAAGAATCATCCCAATAAACGTCAACTGGCTCACTGCAATGGAGCAAGTTGAAATTCAACGCTGCAACTTTTTCTTCTTTAGCCTTTAGCCATATCAGCCACATAGACCCTTATGCGGAGAAAACACCATACTTCCTTTTACGCAGCCTAAAAATTGCTGCAGCCTTAAAATTGATATTTTAAGTGGTCATAGGATGGGTAGTAGAACTGAATGATGTAACATTGACCTTGATGATTAGCTAACTGCACTTCAGCAAGGCAGCCTCCCTCCCTACACCTCCTGATCTGAGGGAGGTTGCCCTCTAGTGGTCATGTATTGAAATACAAGGCCTCTCCTCAACACAGATAAGAACCAGTTGGCAGCTCTGACATGTCAAAGGGGTTGGGGGAAATATTGACAAATGTTCACCTTTGCTTTGCTCCATTTTAGAGCACAATAACAAAGAACCCAGAATGGTGTAAAGTCTATCCCTGACTGTCATACTAATGTCAATGTTGTAGATTTGTACCTTTATGGGTATTAAAAGACTCCTGTGTTCTTCCTCTTGAGCTCTGAATGACCACATTCCACACAGTGGGGCTCATCTCTCTCAAAGGAACAGTTCATAGGAACAAAAACGGTTGAGATTAGCTCTCCTCTTTCAACAGAAATCAGTGTTGATATAAATGCTTGATAAAGTCACCGTGACAACAACGAATGGACACAGACTACAAAATAGACACCACACAATACAGTGACAAAAGCTACAAGCATGGTAGATGGAAATGTATCCATTGTGGTTTTCAGACAGAATGCCTGGAAGTAGTGTTGTAGACTGAAATACTGTTGCTCTTCACACAGCAACAACACAAGTCTAGATCTACATGTCACAAAACAAAGGCCACCAAAATCAGAATATATCTTTATTATTTACAGGTATTTTACAATACATGAATAGAGAGAACAAGCATCCTTTCTTCCCCACGGTAATTGGGTTGTGATTGGAGACGTACAATGACAATAATACATGTTTGGAAGTTAATCAAACCTTATCCTTGGGCTCATCAAATCTAGTAAAAGGTGATTTAGAGAAAAGGTTGCACTGGGTAAAGTGGCTATAAAATGATAAGCAACCCACCCAATCTGCAACGACACACATAGAGATATTAGCCGAAGATGTAGCCTATATGAAATAAGCTGACAAGCTGCTATAGCTATGCTAACTGACCTTAGGCCTAGATACTGTGCTTTTCCAAACAAAGACCCTGGATAGGTGACTAGAAATACTATCAAATACTGTAGCAATGAATTAATGAGGCAGAACCTTTTTTTCCACAATGGCAGCTGAGGAGAATGAGGTAGTCATCTTTAAATTACTCAATTCTGATACTTTGTTTCTGAAACCTTTCCTTCACCTGCACACGCTAACTTTAATAACTGGATTATTTCAACACTAGACCACAACAAGAGCCAAAACACTGTATGAATGAGAACATAATTATAAAATCTTGAAGTGAAAACGACCACTGCAAAAAGGACACAAATGGGACGTATAAAAAGCTAAAACCAAAAAGCAGCAGCAGTGACCGTAGTCCCTGGTCACATCCCAGGTCATTAAAAAGGCACTTCGGTTGTCATGGGGATATCAGCAAAACCAGAGGTCTAAAAGTTCCACAATCATGTGTATTCATATCAATTCTACACAAATTAAATCTCTACGGTCCGTGATCATATCTACATGAGCTGTTATGACGTAAATGAAACATTTCTAAATAATCTCATGAAGGATCTTTCTGACAGAATGAGAATAATCCACGAGTGGTGAAATTATAGTCTGTATCGTTCTGAAAATCACATTTCTTATAACAGCAGATTAAAGCTGACACACACACACACAAAACGGCCAAAATCCACAACAAGCCGTAAAAACTCTGAGCCATTCTCTTTAGTCAGTAGTATGAATACAACAGAGTCAAACCACATAATCCAGGATAATCATCTTTCCAACACGGGTTCCTTCCCTAGTTAGTAGGCCTGCTGTGATGGTGGTGGTAGGCCTACTAGTGAGGACCTTAGTGGTAAAAAGAAGCCCTACTGAGCCGTATGTCCAGTCCTCTCCTCTCTATCCCTACGGATCACGTGCTCACAGAGGACAAGCTATGGGCATGACAGGTATAACATGTCGCTCTCTGCAGGTTAACTAGTGCCCTGTTTCCCCACCTCAGCCCAGCGCGTCACACACCTGAAGCACTCTGTGGTTGAAGTCCTCTGGCTGGTCAGCAAAGACGTAGTGACCCGCCCCTCTGATAGCCTGGGAGTGAGTGGAGGGGGGAGGCAGGGAGGAGGGGGGTGGAGGGGGGAGAGAGAAGGAAGAGAGCTATATGATCATATACACATTCTGGAGAATCATATTTATCTAGGATTTAATACTTCAATTCACTTTTTTCCTGCCACCTGCTAAAAAAATCTGAATATAAAATCTGAGCCAGCTGCCTCACACATTACAAGAGAATCACACACAGCATCTAGAGCAAAAATCATTACACAACACAGCATCTGAGCGTGGGTCCAACTCATTTAAGCTCGGGGCCACATGGAGGAAAATCTATTCCCAAGTGGCCGACCGGAAAAACATGGTATATATAACGTAAACAACAACTTCATTGTTTTCTTTGTTTGTAATACAATCACATACAACACAAATCTGGAGCCTGAGGAAGGGTGTCAAATAGGTACAAGCACAACATCACTATTATCCTAAAACATCAAGTTTATTTGAAAATTCTACAAGAAAAGAACACACAAACACACAATGCCTCAGTGAAGTTAACAAACTTGTTTCACAATCACAGAACTATATCAAGTGTCATTTCTCGCGGAAATGTAGATACAAAATGAATTCCTGTTCCCCAACAAGTGAATAACCACAGAGTCCAAATATGGTTTAAATATACAAATAAAATAAAATCAATTAAAAACAATAGCACATCAACATAAAAACATATAAACATAAATCTGAAAGCGTTGCTCAAACTCCCGTAACAGTCCAGTTATTTTATCTTTGAACCGCTTCATGTCTGCCACATGTTGGGTCGCGCACACATTTTTCAGACAGGGGAAGTGAGCTGCATCACCACCGGCAAGTTGCGTCTCCCACAATGACAGCTTCAACTTGAAAGAACGTATGCTGTCATAATACTGCGTGACAACTTTGTTGCGCCCTTGCAGCTGTTTGTTCAAGTTATTCAGGTGCTCTGTAACATCCACCATAAATGCAAGGTCCGGCATCCATTCTGCGGAATGAAATTCTAACACTGGTTTGCCCTTTTCTTCCATGAACTGTTCAATTTCTTCTCGTAAATCAAAGAAACGCCTCAGCACAGCACCTCGGCTTAACCATCTTACCTCAGTGTGGTATGGCAGGCCATAGATGTGGTCTTTCTCTCTGAGAAGGCTGTCAAACTGATTGTGATTCAGGCTTCTGGATCGGATGAAATTAACAGTTTGGATGACCACCTTCATGACGTTATCCATCTTTAATGACTTGCAACACAAAGCCTCCTGGTGCAAAATACAGTGAAAAGTCAAAAAATCACGTCCTCCATTTGCAGATTGCACTTTCTCTCTGAACTTTGTCACAACGCCTGCTTTTTTCCCGATCATTGAGGGCGCACCATCTGTAGCCAGGCTGACAGCGCGGGACCAGTCCACTCCGACCCTGTCCAGAGCGCCGACGAGTGCGGTAAAAATATCAGCTGCTGTCGTTGTATCTGTCATCGGCACCAACTCCACGAACTCCTCGGTGACGGTCAATGTGTCATCAACTCCGCGGATGAAAAAATGGCCAGTTGTGCAACATCTGTAATGTCCGTGCTTTCATCAATTGCAACCGAAAACGCAATAAATGACTTTACTTTTTGCTTCAACTGGCTGTCCAAATCCACTGAAAGATCGGAAATCCTGTCTGCAACTGTGTTTCTTGTCAGGCTGATATTTGCAAAAGCCTGCCGCTTTTCAGGGCACACAATCTCCGCTGCCTTCATCATGCATGTTTTTACAAATTCACCCTCACTAAATGGTTTTGAAGCCACTGCGATTTCATTAGCAATGAGGTAGCTAGCTTTCACTTCAGCGTCACTGATGTCTCGGCTGTGAGTAAACACAGACTGCTGTTTCTTCAGACCCGCCAACAGTTCATTCACCTTCTCTCATCTCCGCTGTCCTTGAAAGTTGTCATATTTGTCGGCATGAAGACTCACATAGTGGCGACGAAGGTTATATTCTTTCAGCACTGCAACATGCTCTGAACACACCAAACATACAGCTTTCCCATTCAATTCCGTGATTAAATAGGATGACCATTTTTCTTGGAACACTCTGCACTCTGCGTCCACTTTTCTCTTTTTTGACAGAGACATATTGGGGCAATGAGGGTGCCAAAGCACATAATGTTAAAAGTAGAAGCCGTAATAAATATCGCGGGCAAAACAAAGTAGCTCATTGGCTGCACGTGCTTGACCTACTTGCTCTGCCCCGGTATAAACAGTTTGCTTGCTAACACAATTGCTATTGCGCCATCCAGTGGACGCAATTGGAACAGCAGTTTATTTTATTGAAAAATTGCAGCGCCTTTTTATACTTAAAAAAAAAATAATATATATATTTTATATTTTCTAAATCATCTCGCGGGCCGGATTAAACCCGTTTGCGGGCCTGATCCGGCCCGCGGGCCGTACGTTTGACACCCCTGATCTAGAGAATCATACACAGACAGCATCTAGAGAATCATACACAGACAGCATCTAGAGAATCATACACAGACAGCATCTAGAGAATCATACACAGACAGCATCTAGAGAATCACACACAGACAGCATCTAGAGAATCACACACAGACAGCATCTAGAGAATCATACACAGACAGCATCTTAAAAGGGTTCCGTTTATAGAAATAGAAAACGTACTATGATCTCCACATGAGAGTTTGGCCTCATTCCTTTGATAGCGTTGCCAGAGTTACCGTCGATGCTGGAGCGTGACCCATATATCACAGTAATAGGGGTGTCAGCGTGGAGCAGGCCAATCCTCTGAAGCATAGGCCTCTTCGCCCACCCGTATGGGATGGTCATGTTCTTGAAGGCTGTCTCACCACTACAACAGAGTAAACGAACATGATTATTATTAAAGAGGTTGAAGTACAGCAGTAAGGTATATGATAATAATCTAACCGTTAATAAGCAGCTACTTTGAACTCACCACTACAACAGAGCAAAACTAACATTATCACTGAAGTAAGGGTGTGAAAATCACAGCCTATATTAAAAAAAAGCATTTCAGCATTGGAGTGCTGTCCTGTCCATATAACCGTATTAATCTTAAATCATAACATCTTCTTCATTACGGTCTAAGAGGAAAACATTCTCATAAACTGTATTGAAACTCACTCAGACTGAGACTGTAAATACAGGCCCAGAATAAGTGTAAATAAAAGCCACTGAGCTCCAACATGAAATAAAGAGAGGATCTCTGACCTGGGAGTCTGGACGTTCAGGTGATAGATATACTCTGTGACCGTGTTGTCTTTGAACATGGACAAGTATTTCTTCTTGAAGTCCGGTCTTAGAGTTGAAACAAGTGCGGGACCTTGAAGAACAAAGGAGGTGGGTTTGAAGGCTGGTAAAAAAACTCCATCCCATAAACAATGCAGTCATCCAGTCACACAGGTATAGACCAGACCGCGAACAATGCGGTCATCATAGAAATATAATTTACAGTAGTATTTCTATGGCTGTCATCCATCTAGTCAGACAGGCTGCCAGTCTTACCCAGTGGACCCACCAGACGTAGCCCTGCCAGGGGGTTGAAAGGGCTCAGCATGGCTCCCAGGGCTTTGATCCACACGGGGATGGGCCTGTCCTGGTCTTCTGTGTCTGGACGCTCAGGTAAGCCCCACGGCTCAACCAGCACCATGTGCTTCACCCTACAGGACAGTGAAGAGGAAAGACCATACAGTGGGGAAAAAAAGTATTTAGTCAGCCACATCTTTGTGCAAGTTCTCCCACTTAATAAGATGAGAGAGGCCTGTAATTTTCATCATAGGTACACGTCAACTATGACAGACAAAATGAGAAAATAAATCCAGAAAATCACATTGTAGGATTTTTTATGAATGTATTTGCAAATTATGGTGGAAAATAAGTATTTGGTCAATAACAAAAGTTTCTCAATACTTTGTTATATACCCTTTGTTGGCAATGACACAGGTCAAACGTTTTCTGTAAGTCTTCACAAGGTTTTCACACACTGTTGCTGGTATTTTGGCCCATTCCTCCTTGCAGATCTCCTCTAGAGCAGTGATGTTTTGGGGCTGTCGCTGGGCAACACGGACTTTCAACTCCCTCCAAAGATTTTCTATGGGGTTGAGATCTGGAGACTGGCTAGGCCACTCCAGGACCTTGAAATGCTTCTTACGAAGCCACTCCTTCGTTGCCCGGGCGGTGTGTTTGGGATCATTGTCATGCTGAAAGACCCAGCCACGTTTCATCTTCAATGCCCTTGCTGATGGAAGGAGGTTTTCACTCAAAATCTCACGATACATGGCCCCATTCATTCTTTCCTTTACACGGATCAGTCGTCCTGGTCCCTTTGCAGAAAAACAGCCCCAAAGCATGATGTTTCCACCCCCATGCTTCACAGTAGGTATGGTGTTCTTTGGATGCAACTCAGCATTCTTTGTCCTCCAAACACAACGAGTTGAGTTTTTACCAAAAAGTTATATTTTGGTTTCATCTGACCATATGACATTCTCCCAATCCTCTTCTGGATCATCCAAATGCACTCTAGCAAACTTCAGACGGGCCTGGACATGTACTGGCTTAAGCAGGGGGACACGTCTGGCACTGCAGGATTTGAGTCCCTGGCGGCGTAGTGTGTTACTGATGGTAGGCTTTGTTACTTTGGTCCCAGCTCTCTGCAGGTCATTCACTAGGTCCCCCCGTGTGGTTCTGGGATTTTTGCTCACCGTTCTTGTGATCATTTTGACCCCACGGGGTGAGATCTTGCGTGGAGCCCCAGATCGAGGGAGATTATCAGTGGTCAAATGTCTTCCATTTCCTAATAATTGCTCCCACAGTTGATTTCTTCAAACCAAGCTGCCTACCTATTACAGATTCAGTCTTCCCAGCCTGGTGCAGGTCTACAATTTTGTTTCTGGTGTCCTTTGACAGCTCTTTGGTCTTGGCCATAGTGGAGTTTGGAGTGTGACTGTTTGAGGTTGTGGACAGGTGTCTTTTATACTGATAACAAGTTCAAACAGGTGCCATTAATACAGGTAACGAGTGGAGGACAGAGGAGCCTCTTAAAGAAGAAGTTACATCTCTGTGAGAGCCAGAAATCTTGCTTGTTTGTAGGTGACCAAATACTTATTTTCCACCATAATTTGCAAATAAATTCATAAAAAATCCTACAATATGATTTTCGTGATTTTTTTCTCTCAATTTGTCTGTCATAGTTGACGTGTACCTATGATGAAAATTACAGGCCTCTCTCATCTTTTTAAGTGGGAGAACTTGCACAATTGGTGGCTGACTAAATACTTTTTTCCCCCACTGTACACCTCCATCAACCCCAATCTGAAATAACAACAAACGCCTCGATGGTTGTGAACACAATAATTGATGGTTGTATTGAAACATCTGGAAAGGAAATAATCTAAACCACTAGGGCACAGTTTATTAAGTGATCTGTCCATCGGTGAACTGAACAGGGGAAATAAAGGCAGCGTTTAGACAGGCAGACCAATTCTGATCTTTTTTAACTAATTGGTCTTTTGACCAATCAGATCAGCTCTGAAAAAGTGCTGATGTGAAAAGATAAATTGGTCAAAAGACCAATTAGTGGGAAAAAAATCTGAATTGGGCTGCCTGTCTAAACGCAGCCAAAGTGCCCCAGTCAGATTAAGAGCATTGTGTCCTTAATTCAGAGCTAGTTAGGGCACTCCGATAACACTAGAAGGACAGGATGTGGGTGGCTGGCTGGCTGGCTGCTTTAATACTAGAAGGACAGGATTGGCTGGCTGGCTGCTTTAATACTAGAAGGACAGGATGTGGCTGGCTGGCTGCTTTAATACTAGAAGGACAGGATGTGGCTGGCTGGCTGCTTTAATACTAGAAGGACAGGATGTGGCTGGCTGGCTGCTTTAATACTAGAAGGACAGGATGTGGCTGGCTGGCTGCTTTAATACTAGAAGGACAGGATGTGGCTGGCTGGCTGCTTTAATACTAGAAGGACATGATGTGGCTGGCTGGCTGGCTGCTTTAATACTAGAAGGACATGATGTGGCTGGCTGGCTGCTTTAATACTAGAAGGACATGATCTGGCTGGCTGGCTGCTTTAATACTAGAAGGATGTGGGCTGGCTGCTTTAATACTAGAAGGACATGATCTGGCTGGCTGCTTTCATACTATAAGGACAGGATCTGGCTGGCTGGCTGCTTTAATACTAGAAGGATCTGGCTGGCTGCTTTAATACTAGAAGGACATCATCTGGCTGGCTGGCTGGCTACTTTAATACTAGAAGGACATGATGTGGCTGGCTGGCTGCTTTTTTGAAGACATTTATCAAACAGCCGTAGGGAGTCAGGTTCCTGCTGAAATCTTAGCTTAGCAACACAGTGAGAGAAGACGATTCAGTTGAGATCCAGCACAGAGGGGACACTTTTTAAGGACATTCATGTTATCAGAGGTTAGCACCTGCGTGCCAACATCCTGTGAGGTCTGAGGTGTACAGTATTAGTCAAGCATAGGAGGGTGAACCAAAGACTAGCTAGATACATGTAAAAAAAAAAATATATATATATATATATACCTAGAGGTGGCTAAATACTAAGTTATTCTGTCTTTATAGGAATAAAACAGCCATTCATATTGAAACCTGGCTATGGTACTGAACTGAGGAAAGCATTGGGTGATGTCAGGTGGTACTTGCCTGGTGGGGTACTTGAGCGAATACGCAGCTGCCAAATAACCTCCAAAGTTATGGCCCAGCATGATCATGGTCTCCAGGCCGACTTTAGCTCTCCACTGCTCAATGGAGTCCACAAACTGGGCCTCAGCCTCCTCGGCGTCGGAGCTGAAGTAGGGCCTGCTGCTCTGGCCGAAGCCCAACAGGTCAAAGGCATAGACGGGCCTCTGTTAATAACAATAATAATAATGGAAACTCATTTTATTTATAAAGTTCTATCCCAAGGCGCTACACAACATGATAAAACGTACTAAAAATAGAAGTCACAGTATTACAAAGACACACACAATACATAGTAGACAGGCAATTAGAGCTAGCTAGATATAGCAGGTGTAGACAGTTGACCTGTTGGTAGTCTCCTGGGACCATCCTGTCAATTCTCTTTTAGAAGTCTGGAGAAATTCAGTATTGAATTTTGCATTTGAATGGCAGTGCTGGCATTCAACACTTGCATTTGATTGGCTGTGAGTAGAAATGAAGTTTCCCCTCAGAAGAGACATTTCCTTGTTTTTCGTTTCTTCTTGTTTTGTCCATCTCTCTTTTCCTACCGTGTCAGACTACGTACCTTATGCATGCTAGTATAAACATCAGAAATACAATTATAACAACCTGTTCAGAGCTCCAACCATGCAAAATACTTTAGATATTTGATAAGCGGCAAAGTGCACTAGTTTCCATCTAGACTCTGTCGTACTACACCCCTTTATATTGTCTCTCTGAGGAGAACTTCCTCAGGCTTTCCAACGGTACATGAGAAGCCTGTGCTTCAGAGACTAACCTGTTGGGCCAGGGCGTCTAGGTTGAGGGCCCACAGGCCCACCCCTCCACCAAAGCCATGCAGCAGCACCAGGGGAGTCTGGTCCTTCATATTTCCGTTCAATGTGAGGGTCCACAGCATTTTACCATCCGAGATTGGGACATACTGCTGGGACACCTTGCCTGTGATGCCTGGGGATGAGACGGATCCACACATAATAATCCACAAATTGGCAATGGCTGGAAATACAGTTTGATGGTAAAGGAGAGAGGAATTCCTTACATTGCAGCATCTTGTCCTCTGCAGTCTTGAGCTGGTTCTGGGAGGTGGGGCACCAGGAGGGCAGCCAGCTGGTGATCCATGCTGTGGAAGTCCAGGACCTGCATAGACAGACACAAATCATCAACCAGCCTAGGCTATAGCCTATACGGTCTGGGATTACTATGGTAGTCAGGAGTCATGTTTCACAACAAAGAGGAGACAAGACATTAAATGTAAAAATAATAACTGGTAAACATGTTTCGGGGATAAGTTGAAAGAAAATGCCACAAGCAGGGTTTGTTAACTGATTGGACTGCTAGGGATGTTACTTCCTGCCTCAAGCACTCTATGCAGTGGGGAGTTAAAGCAGGTTACCTCAAGTGGAAAAAGGGATGTTATATGCCAGGGACTACATGCAATAGCCTAAACTTATCAATCATATGTGCTTGTGTTAATTGAATGGAAACATGCAGTTAGTGTTAGGGATGGGATTTGCAGCATTTGCTGTATTGGACTTAGTTACATCCAAAATCAAAACGGATTAGAACGGTATGGTATTGGATAATTGGTCCTTGAAAGTGGGTTGCAGTAGTGGAGTGGTCTATAGGCTTACAGAAATCCTTGAACAAAGCTTTCAAGCCTTCCTAAAACATTTTAATTTCGGCATTTTGGAGATTGTCTATATGACATTTGCTAAAAGCCAATTCCTCAAAAGTTTAACAAACCAACTCTATGCACAATGACTACTTTGAACAATTTACAGGAAAAACTGTGCAGATGCAAAGTTTGGTAACAGAATTACAGTAAAATCATCCTCAGTTTTATTCTGTTACCAAACTTTGTATCTGCACAGTTCTTCCTGCAAATGTATTTTTGTTAAATGTTCTGTGGAAATTGTTAAGTCCTTTTGCATAGAGTTCTATGGTTTGTTAAACTTTGAAAATCAATGGTTTTTGTTTGGTATACATTTTAAAGTCTCAGCATAATACCGTTACCATGGAATTTCTCAGGGTAATTCTGTTACCATGGAATTGCCTTAAATTAAGATTAGAAAATAGAAAACGAGACATTTAAAGGGCCTATAAGTAGGCTACCTAAATGTAAACAACTAAAACATCTAGAGATATGACATTGTCAAAGACTGAGATAAAACTAGATCACACTAGCTGTAAACTTTGCATGGGCTATCTTAATACAATATAGCAAATCCCACCACCCCTTCTAATATCAATTAACACATCATCCCAAAGAGCATCTTTACAAAATGTCAAGCTTTAAACCGCTCCGTCGGTTTTATAACGTTTTGACGCAAAGGCCACGGACCAATGCCGTGTTCACGTGCTAGTCGGAATTACAAAACTCGGAAATGTCCAACTTGCTAATTGGTTGTATACTGAACAAAAATATAAACACAACATGTAAAGTGTTGGTCCCAGATTTCATGAGCTGAAATAAAAGATCCCAGAAATGTTCCATACACACAAAAAACTTTTATCTCAAATTGTGTGCACAAATTTGTTTACATCCCTGTTAGTGAGCATTTCTCCTTTGCCAAGATAATCCATCCACCTGACAGGCGTGACATATCAAGAAGCTGAATAAACAGCATGATCATTACACAGGTGCACCTTGTGCTGGAGACAATAAAAGGCCACTAAAATTCACAGTTTTGTCACACAACAACACAATGCCACAGATGTCTCAAGTTGAGGGAGCATGCAATTGGCATGCTGACTGCAGGAATGTCAAACAGAGCTGTTGCCAGAGATTTTAATGTTCATTTCTCTACCATAAGCTGCTTCCAACGTCATTTTAGAGAATTTGGCAGTACATCCAACTGGCCTTTCAACCGCAGGCCACGAGTAACCATGCCAGCCTAGGACCTCCACATCCACATCCACATCCACATCCACATCCACATCCACATCCACATCCAGGGTCTTCACCTAGGGGATCGTCTGAGACCAGCCCCCCGGACAGCTGATGAAACTGAGGAGTTTTTCTGTCTGTAATAAAGACTAATTCTGATTGGCTGGGCCTGGCTCCCAGTGGGTGGGCCTGGCTCCCCAGTGGGTGGGTCTATGCCCTCCCAGGCCCACCCATGGCAGCGCCCCTGCCCAGTAAAAATAATAATAATAATAATAATAATAATAATATGCCACTTAGCAGACGCTTTTATCCAAAGCGACTTACAGTCATGTGTGCATACATTTTTGTGTATGGGTGGTCCCAGGTATCGAACCCACTACCCTGGCGTTACAAGCGCCATGCTCTACCAGCTGAGCTACAGAGGACCACATGTGAAAGCCATAGATTTGGTCCCAATTCGTTATTTCAATTGACTGATTTCCTTATGTGAACTGTAACTCAGTAATATCTTTGAAATTGTTGCGTTTATATTTTTGTTCAGTATAGTTAATCACGTGCCGCGTTCAACTAATTAGCAAGTCGGACATTTCCGAGTTTCCTAGTCACCTGAATTCGGCATAAACTATTAACAAGGTGACACATGTCAACTCATGGAATAGCAACATTGTTGCCACTAGTCTGTCAAGTCAACTGACAAGTAACTTTAGCCTACTGTTACAGGTGCTTGACGACAAACAAGAACAATTAACATGCTAGAACCAGCTAATAACAAGACACACAACCATATTATGATTATTTTTTGTGGGTCGCTTTTATCAGTATTGTTCTATGTAAAAGCATGGCTCTAAGCTTGTTTATAAAGAAACACACTCACCCTCTCTCAGCAGTCACCACTTGGTCAGCCATTCTTTTTCACACAGACAAATCACATGATCCACAAAACATGACATCATCACCTGGGGTGTATTCATTAGTCGGTTTCCATTGCAAAACTTTTGCAATGGAAACCGTTTACCATACTCTAGGAACCAAACGGAAGCAAACCAAAGAGTGTCTATTATATTGACAAGATAGTCAAGTGACCGCTCTAACAATCAAAATACATGTCCTCAAATATGGAAGGCATGCGTGAGGAGGTGAGATCAGGTGGGACCATTCTAGCCAATGAGAGGGCAGATACACGTGCGAACAACAGGCCATAGAGATGGAGGACGCATCTTTGTATCTGTGCCATTATAAGATCTGTTACAGTATGGGCAATTGAGGCTTTTTCCTTCATTGGCTGGTTGCTCCCAACTCATAGGAATCCCCATCCAGTTGAATACTTAAAAATGGTGGAAGCCCTCAATAGCAATGCCCATGCCAAATCGGGTAATATCCATGATGAGTCCTCTATCAATTAAATTAAATTCAAAGGGCTTTATTGGCATGGGAAACATATGTTTACATTGCCAGAGCAAGTAAAGGTGATACTAACAATCAAAAATTAACAGTAAACATTACACTCACAATATTATGGCTATGTACAGTGTTGTAACAATGTGCAAATAGTTAAAGAACAAAAGGAAAATAAATCAACATAAATATGGGTTGTATTTACAATGGTATTTGTTCTTCACTGGTTGTCCTTTTCTTGTGGCAACAGGTCACATCTTGCTGCTGTGATGGCACACTTTGGTATTTCACATAATAGATATGGGAGTTTAACTAAATTTGATTTGTTTTCAAATTCTTTGTGGGTCTGTGTGATCTGAGGGAAATATGTTTCTCTAATATGGTCACAGGAGGTTAGGAAGTGCAGCTCAGTTTCCACCTCATTTTGTGGGAAGTGTGCACATAGCCTGTCTTCTCTTGAGAGCCAGGTCTGCCTATGGCGGCCTCTCTCAATAGCAAGGCTATGCTCACAGAGTCTGTACATAGTCAAAGCTTTCCTTAATTTTGGGTCAGTCACAGTGGTCAGGTATTCTGCCACTGTGTACTCTCTGTATAGGGCCAAATAGCATTCCAGTTTGCTCAGTTTTTTTTGGTTAATTCTTTCCAATGTGTCAAGTAATTATATTTTTGTTTTCTCATGATTTGGTTGGGTCTTATTGTGGTTTGGGAATCCCTTCCCTTTAAGTGGTTGTAGAATTTAATGGCTGTTTTCTGGATTTGGATAAATAGTGGGTATCATCCTAGTTCTGCTCTGCATGCATTATTTGCTGTTTTACGTTGTACACGGAGGATGCTTTTTCTGAATTCTGCATGCAGTCTCAATTTTGTGTTTTTCCCATTTTGTGAATTCTTGGTTGGTGAGCAGACCCCAGACCTCACAGCCATAAAGGGCAATTGGTTCTATAACTGATTCAAGTATTTTTTGCCAGATCCTAATTGGGATGTCAAATTGTATGTTCCTTTTGATGGCATAGAAGGCCCTTCTTGTCTTGTCTCTCAGATCGTTCACAGCTTTGTGGAAGTTACCTGTGGCGCTGGTGTTTAGGCTGAGGTAGGTATAGTTTTTGGTGTGCTCTAGGGCAACTGTGTCTAGATGGAATTTGTATTTGTGACCCTGGCAACTGGACCTTTTATGGAACACCATTATTTTTGTCTTACTGAGATTCACTGTCAGGGCCCAGGTCGGACAGAATCTGCGCAGAATATCTAGGTACTGCTGTATGCCCTCCTTGGCTGGGGACAGAAGCTATGACAACAGGCACAACTCAGATATAAAGTACCCTTTTTTCAATGTTGCCGAATTGCCACGTGCGTCCACTTATATCAGCGCATTCATAACACCTAAGATTTACGAAACTTCTATTAGATCAAATAAGCGTCAAGTAGCAAATGAACATTTTTTTGTTGACCAAATTCTTCACATCGTTGGCTTATTTTCGAGGACAGATTTTGGGACGATTAAAACTTCTCACTTCGTCGCTTCCTCTCTGAGCAAACGGAACGAGACCTGGAGGGCCCTACCTACATTTGTCCAATATAAACTCTAGTTTTCGTTGCAAAACGTTTTCCGTTTGGAGTAAACGGCTTCCGTTGCAAAACGTTTTACAACGGAATCAGACTAGTGAATACTCCCCCTGAAAAGAACGTGACTTTTTACTGACGCTGTGGGACATGAGATTGCGGAATATACACACCTCTCTGCCACAAATTAACTCTAGTATGGTCAAATACAATTATTTCCACAACAGTTGGTAGGCGTATTCGATAAGCTATCTTGTCGGAGACAACGCAATGCAATGTTATGGATTCTGTGTTTATATGACAACCTCAAAACTAATAATAGCCTAGCCAAACCTAACTAATAAGAGCCTATACTTGTATCCTGGGAACAAGACTATAATCATACTACCCTCACCAGATTGTCAACATTATAACTACTGTATTTTTTCACAATAAGACATATGTCGTATGCCTGTCCTACTAGAAAAACGTGTTAGATTTCTATTCAAATGAGGAATTCCCATAGAAACTGTTCTTCTAGTGATTTACTTGCCTATGTACCATAGAGATAGATAGAGGACTCTAGTGCCCAAAAGCCTGTTTTAGCATGGGGCAGCGCCTTTGAGTACTTTCACCATTTTTAAGTAGTCAATTGGGTGGGACTTACTATGGGTTAATGAAGGATCACATAATTCCGTCCAGGTCATCAGGAGGGATCAGTCAATGAATTATATGTGTGAGCAAACGTTCCATAACAGCAGATGGCATTTAATCACCAACCTTGGCTTTGTACCTTTTCAAACAACACACTCCAGGTGGCAGTATGCACCCTTTCAGTTTGTTTACTAACTCATAGAAGTAGCAGAAGAACAAAATTGACTACACTGCCCATGCTCTCACAGACGCCATAATAGGACAGATACAATGTTGCGTCCTCTAACTATCTCTATGCTATGTAGGCCTACACACACAGCATAGCACGTTGGTGGGTGTGATAACTGCGGGCTGAAGTCTACAGCCGCGCTTGCCTGTCAGTGACGTGGAGAGGCAGAAGTCAAGCAACTCTTCTGATTCCTAAGAAAGACCAGAGAAGAAAGATCAGAGAAGATTCGAAATAGGTTTTTATTGTCGACTTGGGTATCGCGGGCAACCTTTAAAATTAGACCTTATTGCGACAGCGAACGAAGGACGTGGTGAGTAGGCTTGTTTATAGAGATTTGTTGATGTTAAAGGCCTACCGGTATCTCCTTTTCCGATTTGCGTCAAATGTTTCACAGTTGTACGTGACAATGTTACGTCAAAGATCAGCACATTTCTTCAGATGAAGCAATCATGAGTAAACCCTGTAACAGTTTTATATCCACCCATAGACACTGTAACGAACGTGCGGTTCAATCCCCGCCCTCTCTCACACCAAAACATTGAGCTGTCACTGTCAGTAGCCAGCTTTAGCTGAGTTTCAGAATCAGATTTTGGAGGCAAATTAAAGTTGAACATCTTTAATACATAACAAAATATGTTTTTAAGCCTTTGCGATTCAACGTCTAAAGTAAACAGTTGAATGACACATCAATATGTTGGGCTGAACCCAAGCCATAATAATGACTAAAATAGAAGGCGTTTTACAATCTGAAGTCAACTTCAGAAGTTACCGACTTCAGACTGTAAAACGCTAGCCTGGGAAAGGGAAAGGGGGATACCTATTCAGTTGTACAACTGAATGTATTCAACTGAAATGTGTCTTCCGCATTTAACCCAACCCCTCTGAATCAGACCAGTCTCTTTAGCCAAAAACCTACAAAAACTCTATTCATTTCCCCATAAACTTTGTCCAACGAACTATGGCGGGGTTAGTGCCTACAAAAAGACGCCATTACTATTTCTCTCTATTGAACGTTGAGTTGCTGAAAGACCAGCCTCTTTGGCAATTACAAGGAGTGGTATGTTAGCTAAAGAGATTGCTAGGCTGAACCCCTGAACATACCACACCTTGTTAGGTAATATAAGATAGGCTAATTCCTGTAGATTGATTTAGGCCAGGTAAAGGTGCTGCAACTTTGCACATGAGGAGCAGTAAGCATTTTGGTTACCTAGAGCAACATTTGAATGTGCAACAACCGATCACGTTTTATAGATTTAAATAGCCTAAATACATAACCAACATTGGCTATATAAAACATACAATTACTGTACACACATACTTTGAATTGAAACATTCAAACTGAAGAATGATATTCTGGCCCTGTCGTTTTGGTCCCTGTAGGCACAGTCATGTTTAATTCATTTGTTTCCTTTCTTGTCTCTCTCCAGGCTTCACAGGGAGAGGGGAAAATGCAAAAAGGCTTGTCAGTTTCTGACAGTGATGGCTCAAAATTTGCCCCTCTGGTGGTCATCGAGTTGGCTTCGGAAACCAAAGAGGAAGCCATCGCATGGTTACTAGACCGGATCAGAGACAAGCAGCAAGATGGAGGTACAGTACATTGAGCTTAGCTTACCTACTGTATGTTGGAAACAGAGATCTGAAACATTTGAAACAGTCTTTTCTCAATCCCTTTTCACTTTGCCTCTGCTTCTTCTTCTCTGTTATACAAATGTTAAAGATTTGGCTTTCACGCTAACGTGCTCTCTGAAAGTGAGCTAAACTGGCCCGATAACATATCTGGGCCCGTTTCCACAAAGAGGCTCAGAGTAGGAGTGCTGATCTAGGATCTGTTTATAAAATATTATTATGATCTAAATGGCAAAACTGATCCCAGATCAGCACTCGTACTCTGAGATGCTTTATTAATACGGGCCCTGATGCCACCTGTGATAAGCTATGTGGAAACAAAGCAGGCTGACCTTATCGCTTATATCATGAAATACTCACTGAAAAGAGCACGATTCAGTACAATAGTGTGAAAGTCTCTTTTAGTTACTGTATCTATTAACCAGTCAGTCTGGCTCTGTTGATACAATATGGTTGCCCTAGGCAACATCCCAAAATGTCACCCTATTCCCTACATAGTGCACTACTTTTGACCAGAGCCCTATGAGCCCTGGTCAAAAGTAGTGCTCTATAAAGGGAATAGGGTGTCATTTGGGACCAAAACGTAGTCTATTGACACCTTCCTACCTGTCCTGATTCCTCTGCTGTGTTAGGGGCTGAGCTGCTGGTTGAGCAGCTGACCCCAGGGGCCCAGGGCATGGAGAAGGACAACCCCAATGTGTACGTGGTGGGGGCCTCCTGGCAAAGGCTCCTATACGGAGCTGAGGACGTGGGCCTCTTCAAGGAGTTCAACGACGGCTCCATGAGAGGCTTCACGTATGCCAACAAGCACAACTTCAAAGAGTTCCAAGGTAATCTAGGGTATGTCACAAATGGCACCCTATTCCTTATTGTATGTACTATAGATGAGGTGTAGTATTTTACTATTTGCTGTATTATATTATTACAACTATATTACAGTACAATTACAGTACAATGCAATAACTAGATTGATATGTTAATACAACGTGTTGTTTAAGTAAACATCATTACTACACTAGTGTAAGCGCACGTTATTGTATTGTAAAGTGACTGTAACTGTGTTAATTGTCTGTGTCTGTAAACTACAGGTGATGGGGATGGTTTTCTGAGCATGGCAGAGTGTCAATACATCATAAAACATGAACTGGACAACCTGAGGGCCAAGGATGAGGCCCACGTGCCCGGATATCCTAAAATGAAACTGTATCCAGGGAAGTCAGTCAGTAAGTACAGCATTGACCCTATGACCTCAGCTACACTGAAACACTGGGTGCACAGTCATCAAACCTGGGTTCAAATAGTATATATTTTCTTTCAAATACTCTGAGCCTGCTGCCTGGATTGGAATGCCAGATGGGCAGGGTTTGCACTTTTGGGACTATTCCATTGGTTCCATTGTGCTTGGGAAGCTCAGAGTCATGTACACTCAGTGGTAAGTTTATTAGGTACACCACCCCGTTCACGAAAATGGTGCGCTCCTACAGACAGTGAGTCACGTGGCCGTGGCTTGCTATATAAAGCATGCAGACAGGCATCGAGGCATTCGGTTAATGTTCGATTGAACGTTAGAATGGGAAAAACGAGTGTGGTATGATCGTCGGTGCCAGGCGCGACGGTTCCAGTATCCTTTCATGCATTACAGTGTCTAGGGTTTACTGAGAATGTTGCGACATACAAAAAACATCCAGTCAGCGGCAGTCCTGTGGGTGAAAACAGCTCGTTGATGAGAGGTCGAAGGAGAATGGCAAGAATCATGCAAGCTAAAAGGCGGGCCACAAACAGGCAAATAACGGCGCAGTACAACAGTGGTGTGCAGAACGGCATCTCGGAACGCACAACTCGTCAGTCCTTGTCACGAATGGGCTGTTGCAGCAGACGACCACACCGGGTTCCACTCCTATCAGCTAAAAACAAGAAGAAGCGGCTCCAGTGGGCACTTGATCACCAATACTGGACAATTGAGAAGTGGAAAAACATCACCTGGTCCGACGAATCCCTGTTCCTGTTGAGTCATGCTGATGGCAGAGTCAGGTGTATATATCTTATGCATGGCTCTGGGCAAGCTCAATCAAGTGCAGCACAAATGAAAACCAGTACTATTTGAACCCAGGTCTGAAGCCAATACCATATTTGAAACATAACATACATAATCCTCACATTGTCTCCTCATCAGTGTCTGCAATAAGGGCAATAAATATGCAAATATCAGTGGATTATTCAAATACTAGATAAGGAGTCAATGCTCTCGCTGAGAAGATAGTCTGCTATTCAGCTTAACCAATTGGATAGAAAAATAATGCAATGTTTTGGAAATAATGTCAAGAAATGACGGATGAAATTATTACGTTTTTCATTGCTTTTTATTTTTATACAAATATACTAGTATATTATACAGTGGGGAAAATAAGTATTTAGTCAGCCACCAATTGTGCAAGTTCTCCCACTTAAAAAGATGAGAGAGGCCTGTAATTTTCATCATAGGTTCACGTCAACTATGACAGACAAATTGAGGGAAAAAAATCCAGAAAATCACATTGTAGGATTTTTAATGAATTTATTTGCAAATTATGGTGGAAAATAAGTATTTGGTCACCTACAAACAAGCAAGATTTCTGGCTCTCACAGACCTGTAACTTCTTCTTTAAGAGACTCCTCTGTCCTCCACTCGTTACCTGTATTAATGGCACCTGTTTGAACTTGTTATCAGTATAAAAGACACCTGCCCACAACCTCAAACAGTCACACTCCAAACTCCACTATGGCCAAGACCAAAGAGCTGTCAAAGGACACCAGAAACAAAATTGTAGACCTGCACCAGGCTGGGAAGACTGAATCTGCAATAGGTAAGTAGCTTGGTTTGAAGAAATCAACTGTGGGAGCAATTTTTAGGAAATGGAAGACATACAAGACCACTGATAATCTCCCTCGATCTGGGGCTCCACGCAAGATCTCACCCCGTGGGGTCAAAATGATCACAAGAACGGTGAGCAAAAATCCCAGAACCACACGGGGGGACCTAGTGAATGACCTGCAGAGAGCTGGGACCAAAGTAACAAAGCCTACCATCAGTAACACACTACGCCGCCAGGGTTTCAAATCCTGCAGTGCCAGCTGTGTCCCCCTGCTTAAGCCAGTACATGTCCAGGCCCGTCTGAAGTTTGCTAGAGTGCATTTGGATGATCCAGAAGAGGATTGGGAGAATGTCATATGGTCAGATGAAACCAAAATATAACTTTTTGGTAAAAACTCAACTCGTCGTGTTTGGAGGACAAATAATGCTGAGTTGCATCCAAAGAACACCATACCTACTGTGAAGCATGGGGGTGGAAACATCATGCTTTGGGGCTGTTTTTCTGCAAAGGGACCAGGACGACTGATCCGTGTAAAGGAAAGAATGAATGGGGCCATGTATCGTGAGATTTTGAGTGAAAACCTCCTTCCATCAGCAAGGGCATTGAAGATGAAACGTGGCTGGGTCTTTCAGCATGACAATGATCCCAAACACACCGCCCGGGCAACGAAGGAGTGGCTTCGTAAGAAGCATTTCAAGGTCCTGGAGTGACCTAGCCAGTCTCCAGATCTCAACCCCATAGAAAATCTTTGGAGGGAGTTGAAAGTCCGTGTTGCCCAGCGACAGCCCCAAATCATCACTGCTCTAGAGCAGATCTGCATGGAGGAATGGGCCAAAATACCAGCAACAGTGTGTGAAAACCTTGTGAAGACTTACAGAAAACGTTTGACCTGTGTCATTGCCAACAAAGGGTATATAACAAAGTATTGAGAAACTTTTGTTATTGACCAAATACTTATTTTCTACCATAATTTGCAAATAAATTCATAAAAAATCCTACAATGTGATTTTCTGGAATTTTTTTCCTCATTTTGTCTGTCATAGTTGACGTGTACCTATGATGAAAATTACAGGCCTCTCTCATCTTTTTAAGTGGGAGAACTTGCACAATTGGTGGCTGACTAAATACTTTTTTTCCCCACTGTATATGGATCCCCTCCATTGTCTGTATGTTATTGTTTTAGGAAACAAAGCTTTCTCTCATTATGAGGAAAGTTAACAGTTCAAACTCGATGGAAAACAACTCAACTGTTTTCATTGCTCTCAAGTAGCCAATGTTCTCAGAGTCATTTTTAGCACTTCAACAACTTAACAAGGGAATTATCGCTCACCAAAAGTAGAACATCTATAGACTGCATAGGCCAGCGTTTCCCAACTCCAGTCCTCCAGTATCCCCAACAGTACACATTTTTACTGTAGCCCTGGACAAGCACATCTGATTCAACTTGTCAGCTAATCATCAAGCCCTCAATGAGTTGAATAAGGTGAGTTTGTCCGAGGCAACAATAAACATGTGTTCTGTTGGGGGTACTGGAGGACTGGAGTTGGGAAACGCTGGCATGGGCTACTAGTTCAAGTTACGTTATGGTAATATAATAAAGATGGCTAGGATCACATGACAAATGGCGTCAGGAGACTGGGGGAAAATGTGAACTCTTCTGTTTTTAATCTAATCTCAGTACGCAGAATGCAATCAAAGGGGATCCTTGTCCAAGTTTTCCCTCTGCATGAGAAGGAGGAACTAAAGAGGCTTTCCTTTTCCTGGTTCAAAAAGATCAAGTTGTCCTTCCAGCCTCTTGGTAAGTTACAGTCGCCGTGGCTTTATCATTTTGCCCTTTGAATCCTAAGGCTACACTTGTCAAATGTTTTGACTGCACTATTATCTTAGTGTTATCCATCTCTTTCACTATGAACTTCATATATGGTATATGTAAAGAGATTAGGCTATCACCATGTACACCGAACATTCTAAGCACCTTCGAATACCTTGTTTGTGACTAAATCCTCCCCATGATTCCCCATGGTCCATCCAGATGACATCAGGCATTACTTTGGTGAGGGTATGGCGCTCTACTTTGGTTTCCTGGAGTACTTCACCTTGGCCCTGATCCCCATGGCCCTCATAGGGATCCCCTACTACCTCTTCGACTTTGAGGACTACGACAAGTTCACGGTGTTCGCCGGCTTCAACCTGGTGTGGTGCACGGTGATCCTGGAGTTGTGGAAGCGCCTCAGCGCCTCGCTGGCATACGGCTGGGGCACCCTGAGCAGGAAGAAAGCATTTGAGGAGCCGAGGCCGGGCTTCCACGGCGTCTTGGGCGTCAACCCCGTCACGGGGCGGGCGGAGCCCCTCTACTCCAACGCCAAGCGTCAGCTGAGGATCTACCTGGTGTCTGTTCCCTTTGTTCTGCTGTGCCTCTACCTGTCTCTCTACGTCATGATGATCTACTTTGACATGGAGGGCTGGGCGTTGATGATCCATGATGAGGAGCCTACCTTCTGGACAGGAGTGCTGATTTTTATCCCCAGTATTATCTATGCTGTGGTTATAGAGATCATGAACCTCATATACCGCTATGCTGCAGAGTTCCTCACTGGCTGGGGTGAGTGGGGTTGGATGGGTGGATGAATGGATGGGTGGATGAATGCATTTTAATTCATATTTTATAAAATATACAAGGTTTTAACTATGCAGAAAACAACAGAACACACAAATCATTGAGGCTAAAAATACATTGTCTTAATGCTACAGAGGTGTCTCCTGTGTTTCTCTTGTTCTTTTTGATGACTGTAGGGAAAGTTGTTGACTTGATTCATGCATACAATTCTAGATAGAAGTCTGAAGTCAAAATGTTATTTTTGTTTTAGAAAACCACAGGCTTGAGTCAACATTTCAAAATCACCTGGTCCTTAAAGTATTGGTGGTGAGTCTTAAATAAAACTGGTTTGTTTCCATGATAATTTCAAGTTACCATCGATTTTGTAAATCCTTTTGTTAACAGTTTTTCTGTAATCTCCTCTCTTCTCTCCCCAGTTCAACTTCTTCAACTGTTTTGCCTCCCTGTTCTACATTGCCTTTGTGATGCAGGACATGGTGCTTCTCAGACAGGTGGGTCGCTACCAATGCCATCTTGGTACTCCTTCATTGTAAACAAGATTTTGGAAGCTATAGAAAAGCAATTATAAATGTCTACATTTGTTTTTGACATGTTTATTCTATTACAGACACCTTATTGCATGCTTTTATATTATATGTTAGCTAAACATTTTTGAGAGTTCTATTGTTACTGTACTCACTACAACAACAAAATATCTTAAATACATGTAATTTTATTGAAATACTGTAGAATTCCATTCATTCCTATGGAGTACTGCTCCTTCTGGGGAGTGCCAATATGGCCGACTGGTGGCTTCAAAGCATCTCAAATGGCCAATACATAACATCAGCAATCCAGAGTTTATACACATCATTGGTCACTACTAGCCTTAGACATTCCTATTCAAGTGATCCATCATACCAGACATGGACGGCTAGAGGCACTAGCAACAGAGACAGAGACAGAGATAGATATATAAGACTCTCACTACTAGCAATATCCCCAATGCTGTTATTGTGTTTCATTGTAAAGGGAAAAGGGTACAATTTGGGATGCTGCCAGAGTTGTTTACTGCTACTACTACTACTGTAACTGATGCTGCTACTATTACTGATGCTGCTACTACTACTACTGCTACTACTGCTACTACTACTGCTGCTACTACTACTGCTGC